CAGATGTAGAGTATATATACCACTTTTTAGGGATTTGCCGGTGAGTTTTCTTGACTCGTTAGCTTGAATTCTGTTTTGACGATTTTATCTCGCTCGGATGATGTTCGTCATATGACGGAAAAAAGCTTAGCACCTTTTCACCGGAATCGAAGGAGATTGCCTCGGAAACAGCGTCCGCCAATCGACAGCTGGTCAAGAGGAATCCGCCGTCGTTTTCTGGTGGAACCGACCTCTGAATCTCTTCACCCAACACTTTCACTCGAAATGGAAGTAAGCTCGACAATGTCTATACTCACTTGCTGTGATATCAGTGACTAACTCGTATTTTCGCCTTTCGGTTGGCTTGAGTTCTTGCAGCTATACATTTGCATTTTGTGTTCTCTCCACACCAACACAGTCCAATATGTTTCTTCTCACTTGTGTGGATATCCTCATGCTCTCTATGAAGACTGTGTGTTTCAGTCACAGCTATGAAAAATAACTTGGTCTTTTTACGCCACCATCATGCCTTGTCCTCCTTAATTCGTTTCATGAATAGGCGAATAGCTCGTTGCTCTGGTGTCTGAGAAAGTGTATAGAGTTTAGGTTTCTATACACTTTCGGACCAGTTTTGCCTTTACTGTTATTGCGGCTTAGGAATTTCTCCCTCGGATAAGACTGGGGCCTGATCCTTACCGTACAGAGCCATAATAGTTTGTTCACTTTAACCAATCACAGTTTCCCAGCATGCATTTGGTGACCAAATAAGTTTTTTTTATTCTTCTTAGCTCTCATTCATCAGTCATAAATAGCAATTTCTCTTGCTGATTGGCCGCTAAACCGACGACAAGTTCTTATTTTATTTGTCAGGACACATTCAATATATGCCTATTCTCGAATATTCACACGCACACACATGTATATGGGTATCTATGCCCATTGCTCATGTGGAACAGAGTTAGGACGGCAGATTGTGGTCTGCAGTTCTTTTTTGCCAATACGCGTCAGGCATTTAAGAATTATTATAGTTCACGAACATTCTACATTCATCCGATCAGGGTAGACTGGTGTATGATTGCCTTCCATTCGTCCACTCTCCGTTTGTTAGTCTCGTCGCCTTGACGGGCCTTGCTCGGGTAACTATCTGCCTCACCGAGTACCCGAATGAGCTTAATTTTGCGGCAGTGTCGATAGTATTTATAAATAAATAAACTTTGACCCGTCAAATAAGCAAATCGGTCTGTCCCTCAATCAGCCGACAAGTTTAATGGCAAATGAGATCGAAGAGTTTGGATAACCGTTTTTTTATATAGTCTAAATTTGAGCGATTATTTAATATTTTACTTTGAATCTCTTGAAAATATTTTGCTTTTAATTGGATGAAAACTTTAATAATTCCCATCGATTGTGCTCCTGTCCCAAGGCTTCTTCTTCTCTGACCTTTCTACAAAACACTTAATGCCGCTAATAATGCTCTGTGGCCTGCCGTGCTCTGGCAAGTCTACAGTTTGTCGCTTGCTGGTTGAGGAGCTTCAGAGTCTGGCCAAAGCCCGTGGAAGAGCGGTCGACTGTATCACTGTAGAGGAGTTTGCAGGGGCAGATGTGCACTCGACTGACGGATATAATCCTCGTGCTGTCGTCTTCTCCGATTCACATCGCGAACGGGAGATGCGCAGCCGTCTTAAGTCGGACGTAAGCATTACTTTATTATTTTGCATGCGCTACTTCTCTTCTCTCATCATTTGTCAATTGGCGTTTTGAGTCCGCGATGAAGGGTTTGTTATTTTGGTAAGTTTTTCATAAATGCTGGTTTCTGCCTCTGACAATATCCGTCACATTACAGACGTAGACTCTGCAGATATTCATCGGGCTCGCACCACAGTGAGTCTAGCGGTATTAACCTTAAGGTAATCCCCTGTGGGGCTAGGTTACGAATTGCTTCCACCCGCCTTTTCAAATTAACTTCAAGATACGCCAACAATAATCTGATTTCGCTTCAAAAGTTCACTTTACCGTGTATTATGTATGTGATTTCGCATCCGCTAACATAGCGGTTTCTTTTAACGTAAATTCGTTGGAATTTGTATTGATAAGTAAATTCGCGAATCCCATTGGACTCGGTGCTTTACCTATTTTCTTAGATAGTTAATTGGCATCATATACATGATGCCATATACATGATTTTACTCTTTTATATACAAATAATTCATCCCGTTAACATGTTCTGCTATTCAAATTCGTACGATTCGGAGCGATTACATCATGTAAAATTATGTAATTGGTTCCCTCCTGCCGTTTTGCCTTTTTCATTTATTTTCTCTGCGTGTTT